CGCGGACCGCGCGGCAGGGCGGAAAAATGGCCGCGGACCACGTGTCATGGGGGAAAATGGCCACGGATCCGGTTCGTACCCCGCGGCGGAGGTCGCAAACCGAGGTAAATTTTTGCGGCCAGAGCTGGTCATAACCCGAAAAGTTCGTAAGCAGAGGCATTCGTAACCCGAGGTACCACTGTATTATGGAAATACAATGCAATTTGACAATTAGAGATGTAATTTCCCCAATGTCATATTTTAAAGATTATTATTCTCATTGAGATTATGGTGATGAGGATAATGATGCTATCTGTTCAATCATGTCTGATTCTTGGCGATTCTATGGATCAGCTCTCCCACATTTTCTGATCTTGTACGGCTTCTTTTAGTTGTTTTATGCTCTGGCTGATGTCTGCTTTGATTGAGTCTAGTCACCGTGTTTTCTGATGGCCTCGTTTCCTTTTACCGCTGACCATTCTGAGCATAACTGCTTTTTCCGGGGAGTTTGATCGCATGACATGGCTGAAGTAAAGTGGAATTTTGTGATTTTGCCTTCCAGCGATATGTCTGGTTTTATACGCTCCAGGACTTGCTTGTTTGTCACCTTTGCTGTCCAAGGAATCCAACACCACAGCTTAACAAGTCGATTTTCCTCCTACCTAGTTTTTTCATGGTCCAACTTTTGCAACTGTAGGTAGCTATGGGAAACACGATAGTGCAGACTAATCTGCATTTAGTTGCCAGGCTGATGTCCTTGCTTTTCCATATTCGATTCATGTTCATCATTGCTGTGTGACCTAGTGTGATTCAATGCTTTATTTCTGGACTGCATTCACTGTTTTGATCAATCTGCGATCCTAGAAAACTGAATTCTTGAATGCATTCAGTCTCTTCAGTGTCAATTGCCATTTTGCCATTCTCATTCTCATTGAGATAATGTTGCAATATTACTTACGGTTAAAAATTATTGTATAGAAAACCAATTTTATGGATTTGGATTGCTTATTGCCCATTCCTAAATGAATCTTTGGCCATATCTCTTTTCTGTGACTTCTCTTTAGGTATTCAAAATGCATGATTATACTGGGTTAATAGTAAATATGTTAATGCACCACTTACCATAATGCAATGCTGTTTGACCTTCATCATCCTGGAAAAAGAAGAGTACAAGATTAAGTTCTTTCAACTTATTTTTTTTTCTGATTTCCTGAGTCAAGGTAAAAGAGCTACATTTACTTCCATTCTGCTTCTAGCTTTAATTTTTAAAACCACAAAGAGCTTAGGATGCAGGTGTCTATTTATTTTAAGAGACTTTTAAGCTGCTTCCACCATGCATCTCTAAGCAGCATACTTCAATATCTTTGAACAATATCACTAAAACCAAAACAATAAAACATCTTCTACCTACAATATCAATAAAATGATATTGTAGTAACAGTTGAATATCCAATTCATCATCACATTACTTTTTTATACTAGAGACATCACCACTCATTAAAACACACTCTACTATCCCAAATGCTCTCTGGAACAGGTTTTCAGCAGCTTCCCAAATGTCAGGAGTACAGTAAAGATACTGATGTGTAAAGTGTTCCACTGAAGGGGAACTCCTTCAGGAAATGCTTGCCTCCAAGTCCCCTTTTGCTGTACCTCACAAGGAGTAGAGAATTGCAGCAAGAATGTTCTGCAGGCATATCTTGGCCAGGCAGATTCTGCTTGTAGCAAGTAGTCTTGTAGATAACCAGGTTCCAGCCATATAAGACTTTAATGGTAATAACCAATGTTTTAAATTGCACATGGACATAAACTGGCAGCCAATGCAGTTCTTGTAATATTTGTGTTATATAAGATATTCCTGTTTAGCACATTGGCAGTCACTTTCAGCACTAGTTCAAGTTTCTGGAAAGACTTCAAGAGAAATCCTGTGTATCATGCATTACAGTAATCCAAATATAAGGTGACGAGGGCATAAGTAACCGTGTCCAGAGCTTTCTGTTCCAGAAACAGTTATAACAGCTGAACAAAAGCTTGCTGGTGACAGTTTCCTCCTGCTGTTCTAGGAGGAGTTCATTGTTCAGAATCCCAAAACTGCATACCAGCTTTTTCTGGAGGAACAGTCCATTTTGCTAGGGTTAAATCTGTATTGGGTCAAGACTGCACTCCCAGTTAGTCTGGGACAGGGAAGGAAAGCTGAGTATTATCAGTGTATTGTTGGTATTATACCTCAACTACCAAATGACCTCTCCCAATGGCTTCATGTAGATGTTAAGAGAGGAAGACTGGTTCATCATTATCTAATATAGCTGGGTCTAAGGCTGACCCATAAGGAGGGAGTATGCCAGTGCCCTCTTCAGGGACGCCAAGATCTCTTCCTCTTGCAATGAGGTGCTCACAATGATTCAGACCTAACCTCTCATCTCATACAATCCAGGAGGGACAGGGTTCTAACCCATAGGTGGCAGAGCTCATCTCACGAGGCTTGACAAGTAATTTTGCAAGATGTCATCCTTGGCACTTTTGTTTGGATTCTGTCCAGTCATCTTTCAACTCCAAGTCAATGAAAGTGACTTTGTCTGAAAAGTGCTCAATCTGCAAAAATCTCACAGTGGCTGATTAGCACTTATTTTCTCCTGTCTTTCCCTAGAAGGGTCTGGGTCACTTTAAAAATAATGGTTGGATGGCACTCCACAGACACAGTAACAGTGGAGCAGAATCTCTGCTTTGCCATCCTAACAGCCACACTGTAGGCCCAAACTTGGGCTCATACACTTTTCCAATAGGATTCACTCATCTTCTGCTAATGTTGCTCCTAGTGTCATTTCATGCACCGTCTCCTGGAGCTCCTCAGAAGACCAAGAAAGCACTGCAGGGCCAGTACATAGACAAAGGATGCTCAGGAACATTCCTATCCAGGGCCCCTATTGCCTTCATATTCCAGAGATCAACAAGATTACTGACAGAACTGTCTTTCAGATTACTGGGAAATTCCGCATGTACCCTCTAGAACCCAACTGATTCAATTATCAGATACCTGAAATGGACCACTAGAATTGGCCTTGCCTCTCTGTGGAGGTCACTCCCATAGTCACCAAGACATGAAATGTCCATGAAAAGGGAGTAATTCTAACTTTTTTTCACTACTAGATTGCATCTCAAGTAATGGAAGACACAGATCAGATCTCATCTGTAGCCTCCCCTTGTGTGTCAGGCCTGTAACCATGTGCGGCAGGGCCCATGGTTGTCACGGTGGTTATGAAATCCAGGGCTGCTTCAGAATGCACGTCAGTTATGGAAGGTTGAAATCATTCAGTACCAGAAACCTAGATGTATCAACCACCAACCCTAATGCCACTGCTTACTGGGAGAACTGTACAACAGAAGTATATCTAGCATGTCTCTCTGGCCACACAGGGAGGGTCTCACAACTGGTCACCTACATGCAGATCAGAGCTCCTAGTAACCATTAGAATCTCCTGATGGACAAATGCCACTACCCCCTCCCTTAGGGTCCAGCTGGATGCAACATTTGAAACCCAGCTTGGCATATCTATCTTTCTTTCACAAGCATTCCTGAATAATAATACCATCCTCAGGGACCTTGATCTAGATTTCACTTGGATGAAGCAGGCAATGAGTGGAATACTCTTCAGTTGTGATACTCTAATGCAGTGTTTCTCAATCTTGGCAACTTTAAGCTGTGTGAACTTCAACTCAAGAATTCCCCAGCCAGCCATGCTGGCTGAGGAATTCTGGGAGTTGAAGTCCACACAGCTTAAAGTTGTCAAGGTTGAGAAGCACTGCTGTAATGTCTGAACTCTCCCCTCAGAGAATCATGTTTGTCTCAAAGTTTTATAACTGGTATCCATTTGAAGTTTGTATTTTCACAGGTATGATAAATCTGTTAAGAATTTGTTTATGTAGCATGCACTTTTGCTGCCTTGTTTACCCTATTGTTACAGTTTATTATTTTACTGATCTCATTGTTTATATTTTAATTTCTGTTATAAAAAGGAGGAAATCAAATATAACAAATAAAAATAAATAAAAGGGCCCCCTTTACATTACTATTAAGTTCATAACTCAGTGAAAAAGTCATAAAACTGATGCCTACAAATCTATACTAGATTTCTACACTGAGATTTCTGTTGAATCTATACTCTAGTACCAAGAGGCATGAACACTATCAGCTGATCTATGAACTCTTTCTTCAGCAGGCTCCATAAAGCCCTGGTTTGTTCCTTGAGCTGTGTAATTCATTTTGAAGATGATTCCAGTAATACATTTGCTCTCTACTCCAGTAACAGGCAGAAATTCCTGTGAATGTTCGGTCTGGCACTTTTATTTCAGCATTTCCATTCTGGATCTCAGTCTCAGTTGCAACCTTGCCCCCTGCCCCTTTAACTTTAATTCTTTTCTGGAATTTAACTTGTTTTCATTTTGCCTATTCCACCAATCTTGGGATTTTTCAGATTCTGCTCTATCATTCCTGAAATTCCACTTTGCATTATATGGACTAGCATGTGTTTTGTATCAGCCTCCAACTGAAAAATGAGCCTGTTTGTCATTTATATCCCACCACAATTGTATGCAGATTCTTGGTGGCTCATACATGAAAAACAAGAACAACAATAAAAATTAAAATTAAAACTTTATAGGTTAAAACTAGCACTATAAATTACACTTAGAAGCTGAAGGCTGCCAATGCAGGCCCTGCAAAATAGGTATAATTGGTGCCCACTGGCAAACGTCTATGAGCACCCTGGCTAATGCATTTTACATCAAATGAGGTTTCTTGAATCTGTATAATTTATACAGATTACTTACTTAATTTTCATAGTATTATATATTAAAGAAAGGTACTCTAATGTGCTGAATTTACCATTTTATAAAATAGATAAATAAATTATATAAAATTTACCATTTTATAAAATAGATAAAATGCCATAAAATAGATGCAATTCTATTACTCTGAAGTAAAGTGCTGGTGGCAAAAGGTCAAGGGAAGGAGCAATAGAAGAGCGTAATGCTCACAAACATATTCATATCCTAAATCCTGTTCTCATCTAATTCAAGGGTAAAGAGCACAGAATATTACCTCTGTACCCAGAGGAAGGTAATAAACATACAAAGTCACAAATAAAAACAACTACCATTTTATCACCAGAAGGCTACGCAACAATATCAGGTACCGCCAATGCTAGTAATGATTAGACCTCTAGTATGCATTGCCCCTCTTCTTGACACTTTATTGGTTCCTATGTAGGCAAGTCCTCCTCTTCTTACTTCAATCAGAACACAAGAAATATTTGTTGCTACTTCTGTTTCTTTTTGACATTGTTCACTTGGCCATCAGAATAGAAAAGCATCAAATGCAGCAAGAGCAAGAAGTTTCTGCTTGTTCATTTAGGATACCATGGAAACAGGACCTAACAAACCTAATCATTATTACTGACTAGAAGAGAGAAAGCACAGGCAAATGAACTCCTTGACATAGTGATTTTTCACCCACCAATGGAGATAACTTTAAATCCACATATAAAAGGGAAATATTGCAACAGTTTCTAAACAGAAGTGTCATTAAAAATTGGGTTAGAATTTAAAGACATAGGAAAGACTTCCGGGGAGGAATGGCAAACTAGCACTTCTCCAAATGAGTGGAGACGATAACTGCAGCAAAGGCTGAAGAACTGGTGAGTAGACCAGTTCTATGGTACCTCTCTGGATAAGGAGAAGATGGGAGATCACCCATGTGCACTCTGGATGGCTGCTCCTCATGAGAAGACCGCATGGCAGCCGTCTCCCATGGGTTTGAGCACTGGGAGATGAAGAGAAGCCATCATGCTCTCAACCACGGTGGAGCCTTTTAAAGGACACTGGGTTCACTAACCTCTTGAAGTACTTCTGGAAATTACCTATTTAATTATCTTAAGGCTAAGAGAGATCCTCAAAACGACAAATGTGAAAAGCTACCTGGTGAGTTTATCTTCATTCTTGAATAAAAGAAAAATTAACTATAAGCTTAAGAATTTAAAGAATTGGATATAAATGGCAAAAACCTAAGTAAAACTCTAACCCAAGCAAGTTATAAACAAACTAAGGGACCAGACAAATTTGGAGTATTAGGACTTTTACTGTAAGATTTTGAAAATA